TGGGCGGTAAACAACAGAGACAATATTTTTGTTAACCCTCAATGACATTACCTCGTAGTCATTTGTTACGGTTGAAAAGTCACTGAGCAATTCACAGACAGCTCCCCTGGTTGCCAAGATTGCAACGCCGCCACCGCGTTTAGCAGTATGGTTTAAGAAATACGTGTGATATAAAGATAGCCGAAGAACTTCACTTTCATCAGAGTACCACGTCTCAGTTAGCATTATTATGTCAAAAGAAACATTCAACTGATTAAAAAACACTTCAAGGTCAGAAGATTTGTTTCGTGCAGATTGCGCGTTAAGATGAATACATTTTAAAGACTCATCCCGATCATCATCAATATGACGCGATAATTCATGTGGCAGAAAAAAAATGCGATCTGCCATTTTAGGATAACAACATAAGAAGCGCCGTGTTTTACAAGTGGTCTAGTTTACCCCAATCCTCTGTAGGTCGTCTTCGTCCTTCACAACGATAGCTCTGTCACCCGTTTTTTTGCGGACCAAGATGCTTCCATTGTGATGCCAGACGTAAGCATATTGTTTGTCACTTGCCAATCTTTTGCGGTTTGAAGCAGAGCTCTGTTGTGCCTTGTTAAGTTCTCAAGAATGAATGGGCCAGATCGATCTTTGTTTAATTTCTTTTTGGCGTGCAGCCAGGCATCTCGTGTGCTCTGCTTCGTAAAACGAAGGATAATGCCAGGCACCTTATCTGGCTTTCCGGGTAATCTGTGTGCTGCAGTGATATCAGTTTCAACGAGTGGCGCCAGTTCTAACTTTGCTGCTATTTCATTTACTTTCTGAAGCAAGTTTTCATTCTCGCTTTTGGCAATTCCGTGAAGTTCCAGGTTTAATTTTCTGCTTCTCCATTCGAGATCGTTCATTTCACGTTTCAGTTGTTTTATTTCGCTTTTCTGATTCTGATTTTCGATCGTTTCCATACGTTTTTGAATGTTTTTTAGTTCACCATCGTGTCGGTTCACTTTTTTGAGCAGGTCATCATAGTCGTCTGATAGGTGTTTGACAGTTTTCTCGATATTATCGACCGTCTCTTTTATCGTCATGAGCGAGTCTAGTTTCGTGTTCATATTCGCAAGCAGGCTCGCCATGTCGACCTCAGATTTTTGCTTTCGACCTTTGGACGTCTGGGATTTCTGCGGTTTACATGCGGAGCATAGCCATGCTTGTTTAAAACTGTCATCTTTCGTTTTGAACGCTTTGGCACTGATCCCGGAACATGCACCCAGGTGGAACGAGTAATCGCACTCCGAGCAGTTCAGCACTTCTCCAGTTTCAGGCAATTCCTCAGAACACGAAGGACATTCATTTTCCATCTATGAAGACGCTAAAAAGAAACCGCGCACGTACTTGTGAACAGAAAGAAGACAAAAATGGCAGCAGCAGCAGCAGTGACAATGGTTAGGTTAAATATATGCACGTAAAAAAGCCGTAAACCAACCTGCAAGTAGCGTGCGGGAGATGTTAGCTGGTTACAAACACCACGCTGCCGCTGCTGCCAGATGATCCTATGGCGGCTTGTCTGCCCTTTTTGTAGTAGCTCCGTGGGACCCGTGCGCAGCCGATGGTCCGTAGTGATGGCGCTGCCCGTTGATGGTATCTTGTGCTGTGGCGTAATCTGGAGCGTGGCAGGATGATGATGCAGCCTAGGTCCTCGCCTTGTTTCCAGGGACAGTAGCAGTGCACTGATTCTGCAAGTAGCGTGCGGGAGATGTTAGCTGGTTACAAACACCACGCTGCCGCTGCTGCCAGATCATAGCCAAACCAATCAAATTTGAGTGGCATGTTTATATGTTCATTTTTCGTTGCATCAATACTATGGCTACTTGGACTTTTCTGTTTTGAACATCTTGTAGATGTATAATTATGATTTTTTTCTGTGAAGTTTTTTCGCTACTGTTACCCTTTTAGGGGCTCAGGACCGGTGAAGCTGTTTTAACAGCTTTTTTCACAAGTCCCCACCAACACTGTACCTATTGTGGGAGATAAAGCTATTATTATAATTAATGCGAGCAGGATATATTACATGCGCCCTTCATCATTTTCTTTCTGAATTAGTTAATTTTTACGCAGTTTTGTATAGACAAAAGTTAAACAACTTCTGCATGAAATTGGTATCACTCGGAGTTGTCGAAATAAAAAAGTGACGAAATATATAACTTGTTACTTGCAAATGAAAGGAAGGCGTAGCTGACCTGCTTTATTTCGAAATAAATAGAAAACATTACACTTAAGGCGGCACTCAAGCGGTTTTTGAAAAAAAGCTACTTTTTGGTGCGATGGCGTTAAGGAAGTGTCAGTGAATGAGTATCTTCAGTTTTAGTAGGCAGAGCCGTCTATTAATCACGCAGGAATAAAATACGTGCGGTCTCTTTTCTGTACTTGCGAGGACCAATGAAACTATCGTATGTTTGAAAATTTTGGCGGTCTTTGTAAAGTTTCGCTGAAGAAACAATTTTCAGATGCATTTAAATATGTTGTGCATGATAATTTCACAAGACATAAAATATCTCTAGTTTAGAATACGTGATACTGCAATTATCGTTTCACAAACAAGGGACTACGTTTTCTCCTTGCCTTCCTCTGCGGGGGGTGAATTTCCCGTTCCCCAGGGATGCGTGGAAGCGCACGTATCTCGGCGCGTTGCAGGCCGGTCGTGCCGGTCGCGGGCCGGCCGGCTCCTTCTATCCGCAAACATGGCGTCGATGGTGATCGTCGGCATGCGTGGTGAAAGCTCATCGTTCCGCGTAAAAGCGCTATCTTTGTGAATTTTCGTCGTGTGTCGCTATGATAACCCAGCACGTACTAGAAGGGAACATCCACCTACGCGTGCGGCGATGTCGTGGCAGCACTCTCAAGACAGCAGAAACGCCCGTGCCGTCATGTTTGTTTACTTCGACTACAGTGGTGCTTTCTAAGCATTTGTGTCCTCAAACATCGCCGGGATTTCTTATTTGGCGCATTTCATGCGTGTGCTCAAGTTCAAGGTATTACTGGCGCGTACCGTATAAAGGATGCGAATTTTCACGCGTTTTCATCACCGGCAAAAGTGATTAGTGTTAGCAATCCTGAACGCTCGCAATGTCTATCTGAACACGAAATCATATTTCTACGATGCTACATTGCTGCTAAGATTACATCGTCTTTTATAATAGTATAAAAGGCGTGTGGCGATATTTGTACTATTGCAATGTCGTGTATTAGAGTCGTGATCGTCCAAGACGGCGGACTGCATCTTTTTATTTTCTTTTTTTTTCACCCACTGTACCCTGCAAGCCTATCAAGAAAAAATAATAATAAAGCTTTAGGCTATCGAAAACTGTCTGTCTATACTCCGTTACGCAGTGCGTCCCCTTTTTAGAGGGGCCGCTGAAACAGCTGACGGCGGCGTATAGAAGCGGTCGCCGTGCTGACGACCCGCTGCGCTTGTTGTAGTGGTTGCAGGTGTGTGTACGCGCGGCGCAGAGCGGTCGCTCCGGTTGCAACAGACGCAGTCGTAGGTACGCGCTCGTTCCACATGTCTGAACCAGCCCTCCCCCCGTCGTCCCGAGGTGGAAGTCAACATGGCGACATCGTTTGACATCACGTACCAGAGGTAACGCTGCGATGTCAAACGTTGGTTTGGTTACGACTTGCCTCAACCTCAAATTGAAGAACGCCCGAAAAGGTCTGCGTTTCGTCGTCCTCGGAACCCGAACATGACTCCGCAGCGCTGCTATCGTCCACATCACACGTCGGAGTGGCGTCATAGGAAATCATCCCCAGGTCGGCTGTCCGCCGAAGAATTTCAACCTCTAACGGCGTCAGGTCCTTGAGCGGTGAGAACTCCCCCTTGATCGAAGCTCGAATGACAAAGAGGTTCGGCCGATGCCGGCTACCTCGGGATCACTGCGCAACGGAACGTCGTCCAACGCCATTGGCCCGAGATCCTTTTGATAAACGTGCGAGGGCCAATGAGAGTGGTTTCGTTTTCGGATGGATCCGAGGTTTGGCGGCCTTCAATTACATTTTTATTAAAGAAATAATCACCGTATGACTATACTTTTTGGTTTTTAGGGATACTTAGGGGGTCTAAATTCAGCTGTCGTCATCAAAACACGAACTCAAAAACCACTTGAGTGCCCCTTTAACAGTTAAGGAAAAAAAGAAACGCACGGTACCTTTGCATCGCTTTTTATCAACGAATTGAAATGGTTTGCTGTTGTGACATTCCATGCGTGCATACACATAAAAACTTAACATAAGTACCTCATAACATTTATGGTTCTTTCTGAATCTTCACGAGAAGAAACACGAAAAACGCCAAAACCATTTTACCTGGCGCCATAAAATACGAAGACAATTGAACTGTAATTTTTCTTTAAAGTTTATGAAAGAAGGTGCAACGATTAACGCAACTATACCTTACCCATTACTCAAGATAAGTAGCGTAAGTGCGTTATCTGTTATGTTTTGAAAATGTAACGTGTAGGTTACTACAGACTAAAAAGTAACGGGCTACCGGTGATAGCCAGTGTTGGCGGTGAATGGTTACGGCCAACACTGGCTATCACTATAATGTTTTTTTTTTAATAGTGACGAATAATATCTTTGAGTCTTATAGATTGCCGATCGATTCCGTAGGTAGAATGTCCCAACGTTTGCCATGTTTTTCTCGCGTATCTATAAGGCCAAAGAACAACGACCCATGCAAGGCCCCATTAAGAACGCCGTTCCAAGTTTATCTCAGTACTACGTTCGTGAATAAGCGGGAGCAGAAGAGAAAGAATAACAGATAATTTGCATGAGCGTCAGCGCCTCTGAATGCCCAGATCTTATAAATGCGGAAAACTACCAAGCTGATATCAGTCTGCTTCTTCAAGTTATACGTCATCCGAAGGAGGGCGCAAAACCACTAGCAGTCCACGTCAGTCGCTTAATCTTACCCCCCCCCCCCCCCAAAAAAAAAAAAAAAAAAAAAAAAAACATTACAAAAAACAATGACTGCCAAATTTAGCCCTGAAAGTTACGCGCGTGTGAATGATAAAAGTAAGTCCATGAACAAAGAAGCTTTGAAAATGACAAGATTTCGAAAACCCTCGAGCGAGTGCGAACAAATGCTAGACATCGGATGCGGGACGGGAGGCTTCACGAGGAACATGCTGCTTCCATGGAGCAAGCCGTGCCGAAAAATGGCAGCTGTCGACGCATTGCCAGGCATGATTGAATACGCCAAGGCGAATCATCTGCACCCAGATATAAGCTATGAGGTCCTTGATGCAGGTTCAAGAGACATCTCAAATTTTCTGAAAAAACACGGCAAGTTCGATCGTGTTTACTTCTTCTACTGCTTGCACTGGATCAAGGATCAGGAGGTGGTTTTGGCAAACGTCGGCAAGTTGTTGAAAGACGACGGAGAGTGCCTCTTTTTGTTCGTTTCTCAGTTTGTTTTTTACGACCTGTGGCAAGAGATGGCATCAATGGAGCGTTGGATGAACGTGATCGGGGTGAGTGTTTATCTACACACTTCATCCTTTTAAACATATATTTAATTTTGCCAAATGCGATAAAATATTATGCCTTGGTTAATTTTATCTTCTTTTTTAAGAATGAAAGATTAGTGCATTACTATGATCAGACCGAGGTTACGAAGTTGAGTAGAGAAATCTGTATTTTGTTATGTATTTGTGTATTAGTGTTCGACTTAAAGACGTGTCTTCTTCGTAAAGCTCGCCAGAAGGTGTAAAATTAAATGATTCAATGGCGTTCTGCATTTCATACATATGTTTTTCGTAAATGTAGAGCTTGTATTTACTTTGATCTAATACTCTTTCAGCATCCTTTGGAAATCATTCCGAAATCCTGGAATCTTGAGCTAAAACCGAGTCTGAAGTATGTGGAATCTTCCGTGAAAGAAATGGTCGCAGACGCTGGAATGGACACCATAAGTTGCACTGTTTACCCCGCGACCCCATGCGTTTTCATGAACGCCAAAGGAGTTCTAGGTAAGATTTTGTAAAGGATAACTAGTTCGTCAGGTGAAAATGTCATTACAGGTTATCTGTGTATAGAGTTCTGTTTATTTTTTATATGAGGACAATTAAACAAAAACGAAATATTTTGTTTGTGGTATGTATTTAGTCTTCGTCCCAAATGTTTTACGTTTTTATGTGTTTTTCTGTTTTTGACTAAGTGTTTACGACTAACTTTGTTATTGTATTTTATTTATTTTACAATATAACACACACCTACAAAGTACTAAGGTGGTGATGTGGGCCAGGGGTAGTAGTCGTGCACTATGGGGATAAACAGCTCGAAAAACGGGGACAGCTATAAAAACACACACGACAATTCAAAGTTTTTCCTGTCGTGTGTGTTTTTATCGCTGTCCACATTTTTTATATTTTTATCCCCAAAATGTACACCTACAAAGGAACATAAGCCGTTACACCGATTATTTAAAAAAAGTAATGTATAAATAATACCTACAAACTTCGCGAGCGAGCTTAAATGCCAGAATTTCTCGTTGTTTTCTATTCGCAATAAAATTACTTTTTTTTCAACATGCCAGAAGAAAATAGGGCTTCCAATGAAGAGACAGATTGTAAAAAATTTTCATCTCTAATAAAATATGTACAAACAAATCGCTGCATGTTTCGGCGAAAAACAAATGGCCTCCTTGGAGCTTCCACGCAAAGTTTGAAACATTTTCCATAATATTTTTCCTGTTTGTATCATTTGCGTAGGTGACAACGAACAAAAAGGAACCCTTATACATATTTACCATGGCTTAGGGAACATCACACGCCTCAGGAGCCACGATTTAGCCAAGCGTATTTAATATCGGTGGAGATGTTCCTATTCGGTATCAGTTGAAACATTCGAAAGTAGCAGTTTGTTTAGGCAAATATATCGTTTTTTGGGCTATTTAGGGCGATGAGAGGCCAAGAGACCCGGAAGTAGAACACAAGAGCGCCGAAAAAGGGCGCCACGCGGCATTGCGTGCCATTATCCATAGCAACCGTTTCTGGCGTCCTTACGTCACTTCCGCGCGGCGCTGCGTCGCTCGGATCTGGTCTCTACAGATAAAGCCGCGAGGTGCGCCTGTGGCGCGCCAGGCGGCATGCGGCGAGTGCCCCGCGGCTCCCCCTTTCCCCGCTCTTGTGTTCCACGCTTAAGAATAACCGAACTTGGTATTCTTCGTCTAAGGGCTAGGAATATTGGCCCTAAATTGGCAAACAAGGGCCAGGGTTAGGCTTCACTTCCTTGTTGTTCGATTTTCACCTGGAAATTTCGGTAATGAATTCCCAAACAAGTGCCAGAATTATGCTTGACTGCTGTTGGTTTGATTGATACGTGGCATTTTTGGCTCACGTCTGGATCTTCGGCAAGTATGTGGCGAACCAGAGAAACGCAATGGAAAAACTAATGAAGCGTACTTTGTCACTAACTAACACTTTGGAGATAAACATTAATAAGGCCAAGTTAGGCTCCTAGAATTGACCCACTCGGGCCAAGTTTGGCGGTTCTTTCACGTGCTGACTGGGTTGTTATTGAGGTGTACGCCGTTATAAAGGAATGCCATCGTTCGAGGCTAATATAAACATATTTCAAATAGATTATTTCACGTTTTACAAGGAATGTTTTATGAACTGTTTTTCATATAAACCACCTTTTTATTATTATTACTAATATTACGCTTATGGGATGGTCATGGAAAAAACAACGGCTCTAATAAACTATAAATTAACGTAAAATCCAGAGGGATGCTCCATTCCGAAAGGTAACCCACTACTATTTTTGGATTGATATGCTATTTTCTTTTGAACACCGAAGGATTGTCCACTCCTAGTAATCGTAGTGTTCGGATCAATGATGACATTAGAGTAAATGCATCTAGTTAGATATACCGGGATGTAAGCGAACATCGCTGACTGGGAAGTACAGTCATCGTCGCTGCGATAATATGCTGACAGAAACATATGATCTAGATATAGTATTTCTTCAACTTCTCCTGATTGCACGCCGAAACTTAGTCGAGGTGGGCTATCTCTGGGGATATTACAGAAAAACATTAAACAGTTCTCATATTTTGTTTACGAGTTTTTTAGCTAAACAAAAGGTGGGTTATTGAAACAATGTACGCTTTCGACGTAAAAGAGCTGGGGGGCTATGTTCGACAAATGTTTCGTTTCTTCTAAAAAGAAACGGAAGTGACGCAAGGGACCATATCGCGTCTGATTGGCTAGAGGCTCAAATGACGAAAAAGGGAACTTTCGTCATTGGAGCCTCTAGCCAATCAGACGCGATATCATCCCTTACGTCGCTTCTGTTTCTTTTTAGGAGAAACGAAACATTTGTCGAACATAGCGCCCCAGACCGCATAGTACGGTAAATGTTTTTTTCCCTAATTTGATATATTAAATTAAAGATGTCTATCAAACGATTATTATTTAAATGGCATACCCCGTTTACAATGCCAGGCTTTTTACAGAAAAGCAAGTAACGCGTGAAGACTGCGCTATGTTTCAGTCACAGTCTGATATCTACAGTGATACTAATAAGTAGGGTTACATGTTTTGAGGTCATTTTTTCAGATTGGCGATATTTTGGCGTGGTTACTTGAAAGCCACTTATGAAAGCCACTTATAAAATAATGTTCGAAAATGTAGCTCCAACCGATATTTGAAAGGAAACGTCGGGTTTCCTTTCAAATATTGGTTAGAGCTACATTTTCGGACTTAAACTCTCACCCAACCAGGCAGATGTTTGCCGAATATGTTTACTTTCAACCCATTTATAAATAACTTGTAGTATCATAGCGACCATCCATTTTTAATATCTACTTTACCTTAGTTATCTAACTGATGTAGGCTTTTGGAGGTATATATATATATGTAGCGACTACTTCTTAATAGCTATTCTTAAAATAAGGTAACCATCCGGGGCCAATACTGTGCCGATTGCTGGCATTTTAGATTACCCTAATACTGCTTACGGTTACCGCCACGGTATTGCCGAAAGGGGAACTTACAGCAAAGGATATATGGGGCCCTGGATTATCACCATCACAACTCCCCTTGCTCTTTCAAGATTGTGATGTAGTAGTAACTTTGTTGCTTACTGAAATGTAGCCCTAAGCTCATGCCTCATTCCTTCATTGTTTGCATGGTTGTTTTGTAAATTCACGTCTGTGGGATCGAATTTTGAAGTGTGATAGCTAGGGATGTTTTCAAAACACACAGCACTCTTCTGTGTAGACCTGCTGCTTCCAATCGTCACCGCGAAGGACCCTTCTTCTTCGGAGGAAAAGCAAAACATGGGTAAGGAAATGGCGACCAGGCGTATCAACGCCTGCACAAAGACACCCGACAGCTGCTTTTTCCCTATGGACATTGTCATTCTTCACGCTCACAACAATCCAAAGTATGACGTTCAAGTTGAAACTCCGAGTGTGTCAGCATCTATCTATACTCGGCGACAAATTTTCTTGGCAATGCAGTGGAAGGTAGAGGCCCGCGTCCCCTCTCCCATTTTGAGTGTACGCAGGCTCTCCTCCTCTCCCCGGAAATGGGGGAGGAGGAAAGCCTGCTTACACTCAAAATGGGAGAGGGGACGCGGGCCTCTACCTTCCACTGCATTGCCAAGAAAAGTTGTCGCCGAGTATAGCAGCGTCGTTAAATGACATATATACACCGATTCTCCATGAACCCCAAAGACAACCCTTCAGCATAAGCGTTTTCGTCATTTGTACAGACCATTTATGTAGCAGAAAATGAAAATTAGTTTTTATGGTTACCTCTAGCTGTGAATGAAAATCTTCCGCTAAGGGGCTAACATTGTATTTGTTTTGTTTTTTGTCGTTGAAATAAAACGCCCCGCGGTGGTGGGATCCAGGAAACCCTTGAAACTGTCTCGATCCGGAGTGCGCAAACCCGGGGCGTAGGTTTGGAAAATTAGTCACAAGAGTGAGACAGACAAAGTGTCGAAGTTCCGCGAGTTCTATATGAAATAAAAGCGTTTCACCAATGAACTTCCAAGAATTAAAATTTAAGGTCTATTTACATTTGAATCTTGATGAAAACACTGCAAACGCATCTGGTCCCCCAACCAATTTGGCTAGATTTAAATTCATTAACAAATGAATATGATTATATTAATGCGGGGTTTCATAGAACCTATACTTGTGTTGTATAAACAACAGTGAACAAATAACAGTAATCTCTCCAAACGGTTTCAAAGCGTCGTGAAAGTTAAGGTTGTGAAAGCAGAGGACGAAGCCGCAAAGTGCGTGTGTGTGCAATCCTTTTTGGGCTTTATTAGAGTTATTGCTTACTCAATACTCGTTAATTTGTTGACGCTTGCACCTCTAATTTGTCAGAGCTCTTCATAATTTAAGAGCGTTTTCAAAAATAACTTTGACCTGAAAATTGTATGGCTGAAAGTTTACCGAAAGTACAAAGAGGAAGACGAGAGTTTGACAAATTGTGCTACTGCTCTCTAGAAGTTTGTCAAAAACTTGTGACTACAGCGAGTTCCCGGACACTTCCCTCTGAGACCTGCTCGTAGCTGATGTTGGAGGCTTCGTGATCAGATTCAGTGACCGACTCTTGTGATGGATGGTCATCTTAAGTTTGAAGACATGAACATTGTGTCAAGGGCAAGGTAACTGGTTATACAGGAGAGCGTAAAGCTACATCGGCCGAGCGGCGCAGAGGCCAGGGGCGTGTTTAGGCAGGGGTCAAGATGGATCAGGGTGAGCGGCAAGAACAGGCAACAACACTGTTCTCAATCTGGTTCTTCTGTGCATGAATCGTTCAAGTGTATTTTTACTAAAACAGAACGATTCCATTTCGGAAGAGTAAGACATGGCAAAAGTATATTTAGAGTGCGCTGTACTTTGTGCCGTAGTCCCGCATGTGCCATGCGGGACTACGCATGGCACATGCGTAGTCTCGCTGTTACGACGAGGCTCAACTTATATGGTCACTAGGTGGAATTAGAGATTGCTATTCCTTGCAAGCTAAGATACAGTGAATAAAAAATCAATGTGTAGCATGGGTGAGGAACGAATAAAACAAAGTAAACGATACTTATACATGCGTTCAAACCGAATTCCTTAATATTTAAAGATAAATGTTCTGTGTAATCTGTGTAGAAAACGTCAGCACTATTTTTATAATTTTCTTTTGTAGTAATAGTATGCTTTTAGGGTTTGTTTTCTTGTAGTAGCCCATACAAGGTGACACCAACTTAAATGAGATTGAAATAATGCACAATATATTTTAAGCTTAATGTTGAGCGGTAAAACATTGCGGCAACGAGGAACAATACCTAGGACCCGAGAGAGTTCAGCTATCAAAACATTTACATGACAATCCCACGTCATGCTCTGAACAAAATACGCCTAAAGGTTTATGCTGATTGACTAGTTCAATTGATGAGGTACCTAGTGTGAGAGCGTAGTTTATCGAAATGGGCTTAATTTAATATCTGATTATAATTGCTTCAGACTTTATTGTATTTACTTTAAGGCTGCTAGTATCAGACCGCAATGCAAATTTGAAAAGAGTAGAAATTGCTTGGCACAACAGTGTATCTGTATCGGCCGCAGAAAAAAACATACTCATATCGTCCGCACATATACCGAACTGCACTTGGTTATCAATGTTTCCAAGGCCATTGATGAAGGCATTAGGTAGAAAAGATCCAAGTATGCTTCCCTGCGGAACACCACAAAGAACATCTTGGAAAAAAGAGAAAAAACCGTCAATAGCTACACACTGTATCCTATTTGTTAGATACGAGTGAAGTAAAACAAGGGATGTGCCTCGGACGCCAATCGACTAAGTTTCAGAAGTATAACTGCGTGATGGAGGACATCAAACGCTTTGCTGAAATCAGTAGACACACCTAAAATAATCAACCTTTTTATATTTTGTAATATTTTTTTTTTAAATAACACGGCGGCTTTCATGGATTTCCCTTTGCGAAAGCCGAACTGATAATCTGGTAATATAGAATGGTTACAAAAAAAGTGATTGAGGTGCGTAGAAGAATCTTTTTGAGTACCTTAGAGAAGACAGGTAACGTAGATATTGGCCTATAGTTATTTATAGCATGCTTCTCGCCTCCTTTATGTATAACAGTAACATTAGCCAACTTCATGTTTGCGGGAAACTTACCAGATGATAATGATGAGTTGTATATGTGTGCCAAGCGTGGGGAAGCTATATCCATTACAGTGTTAACTGGCTTTATTTGTAATTAATCAATGTCCATAATTTTGCTGTTTTTCAGTCCTAGAAAGATGTCAAGCACCTCTCCTTCGGAGGTTGGATTAAAAAAAAACGTATCATCAATATGTTTTACAAAAGAGAGGTCATTGATATTATTGATATTGTCCTGTGCACTGAATAGTTAGCATTAAAATGTTCTGCCAAGCGTGACCTGACATCTTACAACCACATATAGTTAATTCGCCAATAGAGTAGGAAATCTTACTACGATTTAAAACTTTATAAATAATTTTCCGCACAACGTCAGGGAGTTGTGTGTAAGCATAACTCAGTGACAATTGAGATTTCAGACGATTGAGATTTGAGAACCCAATCCTGAAATCTCAACATATAATTGAACTATGATACATGATCATTCAGTGACCACCTACCTAAAGTAAGGATTCCACAGTGTCACATTAGTGCACACTCTAAATCGTTCGTACCTTACACTTCTATTAGTGTAATTCCCTTACCAAATCCCTTCCCACAATTCGTAATCCTGCTGATTTTAAAACTGTTGTAACCAGACTTCTATCCAGTCTATACTATAGTCAGACACAGCCGACGCTACAAGTTACGGGGATCAATCAACCAGCGTCAAAAGCGGAGGTCACTGTTTTTTTTGTTTGTGATTGGTTCCAAGGTGATAGAACACGTGACTAACACCATGATGGTGCGCTCTTCACGTCGTCTGATTGGTCCCATCAGCATGTAGCATCAGCTGCGTATGAACTTAAGGTGAAACCCAGAATATGACCTGTTTCAAGATTTCCATAATAATAATATTAAAGGTATTAATAATATTCTAGTTTCGTTAACGTTTTGTAGGTTATAATCCCACCCATTCTGTTATGAGTCTAGCCGAGAGGGCACAAATAAATAAATAAATATTTATTCAAAACTATTTCATTCGCTATCGCAGGGAGCATACTAGTTCCAAATATGCAGAAGAGGTATCAAAGACAGGGGCCAAACGGACATGTACAGAGTGCGATATTTCCTGCCATCTAAGTTGCCTCTGGGGTTTCGGATATAACTTATAAGTCTAAGGGCAACGCTTTGCCCAAAGCATGACATGTAAAACGTGTGAAACAGTGACTTGAGGCACTCAAGGTGCCGAAGAAGATAAGGAACCTAGTGTATCCGCCATATTGGCATACATCAAATCAAAATCGAATTTCGGGGTTTTACGTGCCAAACCAACGAGGGGCATCTGGCACGCCCCAGCGGAGGACTGAGGATTAATTCGGACCACCTGGGGATCTTTTGACGTGCAACCGAAAGCTCGGTCACATGGCGTCTTCTCCGCATTAAGCCTCCGTCACATTGCGGGCACCTCGGCCGGGATTCGAACCCGCCACATGGGGATCCGTACGCCGACGCCCTCGCCTCGGAGCCACCGAGGCGGCTATATTGGCATACATCAAGGCTAAACTAAAGAATCTACTGGGCCCCCCCAAAAAACAACTGTGCATGGAACCGAGAAATCCGTGCAAGCGATGTCGGTTAACTGCGACGTGGTACTGAAGCAGGTCGGGGAACAAGGAAAAGAGATAAAACAAATAAAAGTAAAGACTATAAGGTTTGCAAAAAAACCTGACGCTGATGCTGAAATGAAAAGGTTAAAGCAAGAAGTAAACGACCTCGAACGCAAGAACGGAAAGCAAAATTTTGAGATTCACAGTATCCCTATGAGTGCCAACGAAGATCTGCTGGCGAAGGTGAATGTGGTTTCAAAAACACTTGAAGTGCCGGATGTTCATAACAAATAAGGCTGCCAATATTCACAGGCTAGCATCTAAACCTGATAAAACCCAGGCATCATTGTCCGCTTTGTTCGCCAGCAGACCAGACATAAAGAACTGGAAAAGCGTGCACTGCTGAACAAAGCGAAAAGTAATATCTACATCCAGGAAAATCTAACAAAACAGGACGGAGAGCTTCTCTGGGAAACAAAAAAGTGGGATAAAGAAACAAACTAGAAATATATTTGGTTCAGAAACGTAACTGTCCTCGTACGCAGGAAGAACGGAAACCAGTCCTTGTAATTAAGTCTTTGGATTAAGTCGAAACATTGGTGTGTAATTTTTTCGCCTTGTGTTAACTCTTCAAACGTGTTCTAGGAGAAGCGCAAAAGCAAACTCACTCTCACTGAAAATACACGCACACCAGAAAAACAAGGCACTCACGTCGCGCTACCTTACAACTCAAATTGTATTTTCGTCTTCTTTATTTTTCTTTTACCCGTATGAAACTTGTCATGCCTCACTTCGTTCTCTTCTGTACAAACAAACAGCATGTCTATTGCACATTACCTTCGAGAGTCAAGATATAACAATTCTTTTTCAGTAAGCATTATGGATGGACTACTAACACAAGTATCACTCCTTTTTACGACGTTAGCTGGTTCTATTATTTCACGTGTTAATTGGTGACGGTTATTTCCAATAACGGTGCTATTTTTGAAGTCCGCAGTGCACCCAGAGTCACGGCAGTGAATGCCCAAAAGTCCTGAGTTTGCCAATCGGGTGTTGATGAATCGCGCAAATATCGATGTAGTCTTTTCCGCCCCCATCAAACTGTCAGGCCTATGTAAAAAAGTTAACACCATACCAAAAACTAATACCGGCTGCACTAAAAAGCATAGAACCCCATTCATTCCTTGCTCAGAACGAGTGATTTATTCCTTTCCGTTTTCATGCGGCAAACAGTACATAGGACAAACTGGAAGATGTATAAATAACAGATTAAGGGAACATAACAACAACACCCGATTAGCGAACTCAGGGCTTGGCTTGGGCTTTCACTGCCGTGACTGCGGGTGCACTGCGGACTTAAAAAAATAGCACCGTAATTGGAAAGAACCATCACCAATTAACACGTGAAATAATAGAGGCAGCTAGCATCATAAAAAGGAGTGATACTTGTGTTTGTAGTCCAGCCATAACGCTTACTGAAAAATAATAGTCATATCTTGACTCTTGAAGCTAATGTACGATAGACATTGCTATTTGTTTGTACAGAAGAGAACGAAGTGAGACATGACAAGTTTAATACGGATAAAAGAAAAAGAAAGAAGACAAAATACTATTTGAGTTGTAAGTCAGCGCGACGTGAGTGACCGTTTTTCTGGTGTGCGTGCATTTTCAGTGAGAGTGAGTTTACTTTTGTGCTTCTCCTACAATATGAATATCCAACTCGCCCAAGCATCCATCCAAAGAAT